GGAACCTGTGAGAAGAGATGAATTTAGGGGCAGATCACGAAATTTAAAATGTTAATTTTGAGGTTTCCAATTATTTTTTTGAAACAGCTATCATATTTTGTTATATTTTTTATGTAACGAGATCCATCATCTTAAGTGCATTCTTGTCCAAACTTCAGTCATTTATTCAAACTTAAATATAAATATTTTTCTTAAAATAAGTATGTTTGAGTAATAGTGCGTTTACCTACTAGATTAAAATTTCTTAACCTTTTCTAAGTGTTGGTCCCTTTCAATTTGAACTGGTTTTATAAAACTATGTTTGGATTTGGGGTATTATTAGGTAATTATATTAATTTTTATCTATTTTTTTCGTTGAATTAAAGTACACGAAAGAAAGCTATGCAAAAATTGTTATTCAAATTAAATATCATGCCAAAAATACTATAATGAACCCCTAATCAAAAGAAAATGGAAAACAATAATGAAATCAAAAATCTAAACAAACCTAAAAAGCTTATCAAAAATCTAAAAAGAGAAGGAAATTATGTAATTATTAACAAAATAATTATTCAGACACATAACTGAACAAAGAAATTCAAATTCTAGAAAATAAGAATGGGTAGAAAGAAAATTGTCTTTTAATTTTTTTTAAACTAGCCTCTACTGAGTAACCTTATAAATAAACCTTACAACGAAGGTTCAAAATTATTCTGTAATCCGGAAAAGCTTTGAGTAGAACTCCAGAATTTTACATAACAATGTGTTTAAGTAGTTTTTTTTAATTTGAGGTGTTGCTTAATGTGGATTAAATCATCTTGCCGCGAAATGTCTAATTTGGTTATTGCGCTTTCAGAAATTTCAGCAATAAAGGTACCTACAGGTTTAGGAGATTTTGAAACCTTATAATCGTATCTTCCTTGAAATGTTTTAAGTAATCAGTATACAACAGTAGTATATCGCCAACAAAATATCAATATGCATGATTAAGTCGTTGTTGTTCGATCACAAATGCCTAATTCTTATTAAAAATGTCAAAATTTAGTACTGCTACGAATTTTGTACATACATGAATGATTTTAGTGCAATTCTATGTGAAATTGTTGTATTTTTCTGTATAATGCAATATGAAAATCTAGAGAGACGATACTATGCCGGAAAAATAAGAATATAGGAGATTGTTTACATAACATTGAGTAAATGGCTAACTCACTAATTCACCGAGATATCGCCAAACTGGCAACGGTATTAGCAACTAATTTTTGTCACCAAATTTGTTGAGAAATCGCTAAACGTCAAAAAACTTGGCGATCATTTGAGTCCGGTCCCTGTATCACCGTAATAGGTATTGAATAACTGTAATTGATTGTATATACAGCGGTAACCGTATCCGGCCCTCATATGCCTTCCAGTAATTTCGAGAAGTACAAGAAATATATCGGCAGCCGGGTGAAAACTATCTAAGACAAGAGAGTATCTGCTTGTAGTTGCAGTTGCGAGTTGTTAGTTCGGCGTCTATTCGGATTACTGAAATATCTCCGGGTTAGCTTCGCTCTTTAGATGCGTTTCGCACTGCTCTGTGTTAACGTTTTTATTAGTTAAGTTTAACTACTGATTGTAGTATTATGTGATACTGTGAACACCTGTACGAGTATTTCTGCGGAAATTCCAGAATTCTGAAGTATTTTTGATAAAATAAATTTTATCAACCTATCACCGGACCTGCGTGCATTCATTCTATAAGGAGCCCGTAAGCACGCAACAGTATTTTATCAGTATGGCAATAATATACTAACATGCATTTATGTTTGTTGCAAATTAGAGATGGAGCTGCAGATCGTTTGGGATACCAGTTTAAAATCCTTTCTTTCTGAATTCATTCCAAATATTTGCCAACATTATGTAACAAGTCTTCTGTTTTTAATCAAATCGACTATTAATGTTAAGGAATGAAGTATATAATCTTCGATTTTCAAAAATAAAATTTTATAGATATATTATTATTATGTTATATACATTATATTTTATAGATATTTTATATTATCACCTAGTCATCCTAAATCATTAGCTGTAATCTCATTTATTACATTTTTCTTTATTTGATAACAGTCTGTATTTAATATTTTAATTCTTACGATACAAATCATTAACTTTCCGAAGATATGATTTAATATTATATTGTTGTAAGGAAGAAAAATAAATGTGATTCTGTACAAAACAATACGAAACTTTACTCAGAAAAATGTCATGTGATTGTAAATACATATTTACATTAACTCTAAAAACATATTACGAAAACTCAACTATTACCTCCACCTTTAGAATTTTCAGTTATTTCAGAAAGTAGCAAACGAAATGGTGTGCAACAGAGAAATGTAGAAGGAGCTGCATTTTAAAAGGGAAGAGATAATCTCGTTATGTCTGAAAGCATAGGCATAACGATTCTCCCACAGGGAACCACTTTGAGAGGCTAGAAATGAGCTGAGCAAGGAAAATGAAAAGGAAGAGTGAAACGAACGAGCGGATTATGACCTTTATATCAATCACACCAACTGTTACGAAGTAATCTAGATTTTAAATAATCTAGTAAAAATATTTAAAATGAAATTAAATCTGAATAAGTTGACATATATTTTATTTATTCAAATTTCGATGTTCATTTGTCTCAACAAGTGGAAAGAATAATTATTTCGGCAATCCCAGCATTTATGCTGAAATTTTGTGTCACTTCTTATATCTTTTTAAACGATTTCCATATATTTTTAGAATTTTACGTAATAGTTAAATTTACAGGGTATTAATTCATTTAAAACAATAAATAAGAAATGGCAGTCTAAAATCTTTACAAAGCAAGTTTGAAATTCTAATAATATGGGAGAACATTTTATGCATTTTAAAAAGTCTCCATATATTTCAGTTATTTTTTGAGAAATTAACTTCATGTAATGACTGAATAAGTAAATACTTACGCTTTTCACTTTCTGCTCGTAATTACAAGAATTCGTTTGTCGGCATTTAGCAAACTTTATTTCATTGTCTTCGTAATCCCTTTTATGACGACTTGTTCCTTCTTTTGTGACACTAAAGCACCTACATTCTGATGAATGAGAGTCTTGTAACATTTCATCGAGATGGCTTTCTTCAGCTGCTAATAAAATACGCTTTAATTGCAGTAGCTCTTCTTGAACATTTTGGAAGTGTTGGCAAAAATCTTCAAAACTTGCATAAATATTTTCAACGTAAGAGCCACCACTTTGTTTTGAAAAATAATTTTGTTGAAAGTGAGTATTTTTTGAATAAACTTGACTGTGTAAAAGGCAGCTCTTTGTTTTCATGTATATTTTCTGCAAACATGCTTTTAAAGCTTTATTTTCGTCGAGACAACAGTTATAATTTTTTTCACTGAAATGTATTAATTCAATTACAGCTGACAAAAGGCTTTCTCGAAAATCTAAATGCTCATGACAAAACTTACAATCATCGCATTTTAAAACATGAAGGCCGTTTGTTACTTCGAGTATCAAATCTATGTTGGAGCTTGACTTTGACAGTTTCTTTTTTAATTTATGCTTACTACTTTTTAGCCGTGTGACATCATTACTGAGACTCTGCATAAGAGACGTTTTTCGTTCTATACTTTCTTCCGCTTGCTTGATTTTGCTCCATAATAAGCTATTACAAGTTTTATGACTCTCCAGAGCCGAATCCACCACTTCGCTTTCATTATCTTGGCCGCTTGAAGACGATGAATCGCAAGTTGAGGCGCCGTCTTCGATTAGAGATTTCACTTCATCTACCTGTAAAAGCGTGAAAATTATTTTACGCTTAAATTCACATCAGCATGAAATAAGAATAACAAAAGTTTTCATAAAATACATAAAAATCTTATATGCATTAAAATCTTAAATGCAAAATCTTATGCATAATTTTACTTTTTGCATATAATTAAACTCCCGTTCAGTTTCTAGCTACTAATTTCATTAATACTCACATTATGTTTATTTCTAAGGTAATAACTTAATATTAAGTTTAATTTCATTTACTTGTTTATTTATTTATTTTTAATTTTCCTCAGACCATGATGTCTTCAGTGAATAACGCTTCTTTAGTTAGAAAAGGCCTGAAAGTTTCGACAGATTACAGTTTTGTTGAAGTATGAAACTTAATGATAAAATGAAGCAAAATCCCTGTAAAGACATATATGAAGAACATCATTTGCGTTATTTAAGGTTACCATTTTAAGGCACTTGAATGTTGAAATTATTAAAAATAAAAATATTTTAGTCTTATAGAAAAAAAAAATTAAGGTTCAAAATCTGTCTCAAAATTATTTCACAGTTAGGAAATTCAAGTAACTGGTTTCTCAAAAAAAAATCCTGTGCATCTATCTGAACTACTTAAACTGTAGTTTGCTGGTAAAAGTTAGTTTAGATACCCTACCTCACGAATTGAAGAAAGAAATCTATACCGTTTAATTTTAATTTTTCGTAGGCAATGTATTCTACTTTATTTCAGCTTAAATTTCGATGATACCCAGATGGATAGGTAATATTTTGAAGCATAATATAACCACTTATAATAAATTTTTAAATTTAACATTAGACCCGGTTCTGCCTGCAATTCCCATGCATGTGGTTTCCTGTACTTACGGGCAGAATAAAGAATTCTTTATTCCAAAACCGATTGTAATATGGATGCAAAATGGATTTTTCGTGACTTTTGTATGTACGTATCTCGCATAACTAAAACAAAGTAGCATATATATGTAATGAAATCTAATACACAGCTCAGTGGAATTGGAAGATCGCTCGTTGTAATAACTTGGTGTGTTAGATGGATGCATAAACCAAAAAATCGGCAGATCTGGCCGCTGAGTTGAACACATAATTTTATTTTTGTAATAGTATAACCCTTTATACTCATAAACAGATTCACAGGCATTATTCATGAATAGAAAATACATGATATTCTAATTATGCGAGACTCAGAAGCTAGCTCCAGATCTACACATGATTCATCTGCCGCATGTTTGTATATTACAGACCAAATGCCCCATTCTTAATAGAAAGAATACGGATATTATGCTGTCATATAAGCTGCATACATTTCCTTCGAGCTGTCATAAATTCCGTGAGATTTAATAGCTTAAAGTCGTGGAGTGAAGACAGTGGGCCGCTCTGACGGGTTTATTCCATGTAAGGATTGGTAACTGACTATTGGGATTTGTTTAGGTTGCGTTTGTTTAGAATGCATATTAATTACTGCATATAAAACTAAAATATATTTATTATAAATCTATGAGAAACTGTTAATGACACCGAAAATAACGGCGTTGATAACATTGAAAATTAATATTGCAGTTATAAAAACACAATTAATTATATGTAAAGTTATTGTCCTCATTGTGCGAAAAACCTTGCTAGAAGCAAGAGTCTATCGGTTCGAGAGTTTAAGTGCGTCCTGATTTGTTGCTCTACGTGAAACAAACTATAGACTAAATTGCGATATCAGAGGAGCAATATAATGGTTGGCTAGTCGGCCTTCGAGAGGTCTTGATGATTGCTTAAATCTGTGCAATTCATTAAACTCTCTTGATACTGCTCGTGCTTGTAATGTCAAGTGGAGGTGTTCCTGAGCAAGTTATTTCTCTTGCAATCTCAGTGCATGTCGTCTTGCACTTCGTAGCAGCTTGAAGACTGCGACTTGTTGGGGTACGGCACACATGAATTTCTTATCTTTTGTATGTGGTTCGTCGCCTACTGCCTCTCCAATACCATCGTGATAACAACAAAACAGACTAAAAGGAGAAATAACAAAACAGACGGAAAGGAGAACTAAACAAAGATTGTTTATTTCTTTGCCTTCTCGCATTTTGTGATGAGTATAAATTAACGCGGCCAAACAGCTGTTCGATTGAAGGCCACAAATCTGTTTTCCCTTCTCCCTCCCTTTTTTTCGGAAACAACGCTCCTTTCGAAAATGACTGAGCCTTAGATTCATGAAATTGTGAGAGATCAGATTTATAGAGTAGCCTTGAAAACACCTTCCAGTTGAAAATCAAATATCGCTTTATGTCTAAGACACTATGAAACCTAATTTGATCTAGTTTAGATTACCAGCAATAAACATTTTCGCATATTGTAGCAAATATAGACATATGAACATTAAAATATATCTCATATAATCTTAACAAACTCCTGAAAATGACAAATATCTAACTTTAAAAAACAGACTAATCGCGGATTTCAAGATTCCATAGTTTAGCAAATCCGTAATTTTTTATCGGATTTATAATTATGTGATAAGAAACCGAGTTTCCTTTCGAAAGAAATAAAAGAATTGTCATCAAACAAAATAAGCGATGCCTTGCTAAAAACCTTGTGGATACAAAGACTTCCTTCGGCTTCTGAAACAGGTTTAACTCCTCAATGCCAAAGAGCCCTGACGAGTTAAACCTGTTCCTAAAATTTCGTAAGGCACAAATGACTCCAACTAACTATTTGAGCAGCATCAAGTACTGAGCAAAATGCAGAGTTACTTCCGTCACTAAGTTTAATGAGCAAACAGAGAATCTCACTAAGCAAGTTGAACGCTTATCTCAAAAATAGTACAGTCAAAATCCAAGACACCTCGATAACCGCAATCGTTCATAAAGTAGAAAACGTAATTCGCACACAAATCTTGAAAACTCTTACCATCAAAAGTTTAAAACTAATGCTCGTTAGTGTATTTCTCTATACTCGTTTCAGCCGAAAACTAAAGTCGGCTGCTATTGCGAAATAAATCATGGATAATGGAATAGTAATAAACACTTCCAACAGATTACATGTATACGATAAACATAAAAACATGAAATTTTGGTTGTTGATTTATGGCCCGCTGTTGTTCAACGCTTTGGTGTTTTTAAGCAGAGGCTTGCTCGTGGCGACTTCTATGGGTAGAAGTGTAATGCGAAAGACTCGCATTGGCTTTGCAGAACAGAATTTAAGTCCGCTTTATGAGAGTGAAATACTTTCCCTCTTTACAAAAGAGCTCTTGGGTGGACAATTCAAGTAGTTTAACTCTCAGGTTTTCGAGGATTGGCTTCGCGGACGCCGCTTGCCCCCATCATCTGTTACGCTAATAACGAGGTACTACCTGTTGTCGTAATTTGTTTCTTAAGTCCACTGTGCTGACGTGATTCATCATTGCATTGTAGGCCTGGTGATCACCTTTGTACGTTAGACATGGCTAATTGGGCACGTTCAACGCTTGTGGAGCTAGGCGCCATTCGTGGCGCGATTTTCGTACTTAGTCAGTTTTCTCACAGGTGGGCGGGAGGAGGAGGGTGTTCTTGTCACGTTCGAAAGGACATCACTGGAGTGGATATATAACAAACACATACATTACGTGAATCATTTATGTATACAATAACTAAATTTATTGTATATCATAATAACATTAACGACTGAACAAAAAATACATAAATTGTTACCTCTCTTTGAATTGATTCCCAAACTTTATGCTGTGAAAGAATTTCGTTTTCTAGTAACTTAAGCCTTGTGCTGATCAAGTTACAGAATGAGTCGACGCATTTAGGATCTCTTTCTTGAAATTCAAGATCTAAATCAAAGTTTTAAAAGCACTTAGTATATATACAACAGTTTCATATCATAAGAAAAGTGTTAACGAAGATGTCACTTATACACCTATAGGAAAAATTTCAGCAAATATTGATTGATTTTTTTTTCTAAAATAAATTATTTTTTGATTTAATTTATAAAAGCTAATTTCTGAATTTTTTTTTAAATAAATTAATTTTGCTTTAATTTATAAAAGCTAATTTCTGATCGAAAATTCGGAAAACTACATCTAAAATATAATATTCTTAATTTTTAATTGAAAACATTAATTTTTAAAAGCTAAAATATAATTTTAACAATTAAGGAATGTAATTAAGCTCATAAAATTTTACTTTAAAGTAAATTCACAGGAAGTAATTTTATTCAAAAATAATTTTATTTTAAAGTAAATTTATATATATTTATGTATATATATTTTATTTTATTTTATATTTGTACCGTGGAGATGTAAAGGCAGCTTCTTTTGCTTGGATGGAGAGGATTCAATATCAGACATACTGTCATCATTATCTTAGTACAAGTTTCAGTATTTAGAAATTCTTCAGCATGATCGTTTTTGTTTCAGATTCTAGTCTGTAAGTAAAAAAAAAAAAAAAAAAATATTAGTAAGTAATGTTGTTTGAAAAAAACACTTTATGTGTCCATGAAGTCATTAAAAAGAGTTATAAATGTATTAAAGAATAAAGAATTTGAAAAATAACAGAAAATGTGCAACAAAAGTCCTTTTTATCATTGAGGAACTTCGGCTTTATTCGATCGACTATAAAGATCGTTAACTTGTCGCAGATTTATTAAAATTGTTAAAAGTATGATATTTTTATGTCTTAAATGATTGCTAAAGTATATTTGGAACACCAGATTATTGGTTTTGAAATTAACACCTGGTTATATTATTTGTGTTTCAAATAGTTAGTACTATTTTTGGTCGAGATATAAAACCATACGGCAAAGATTACTAAATAGTATTAACACCAGTTGCTTTCCAAAAACCTTTTATTCAGTTACAAATACAATATCTGCCTTGACTGAATCAAATTTTTCCGAAGCATTAATAACGCAAGAATTTAATACAGTTTACATGAAGTTGAATATATTTGCCTCCAAAATAAGATAATTTGCTCATGTGTAACGTGAATACGAGCAAACATGCCTTAATTTGCGTCCCCTTGCAATTTGCCTTTCCCTTGGCTCGATAGCCTATACTTTGTCTTAACCTAAATGCTCCGATCCTAAATATGATAAAATAGAATGCCGAATATAGTTTCAGTAAATTTTTGGTGACTTCTAAAGAACCAATTTATATGCAGCGAATCCCGCCATAACATTATTTGGAAGACAGCAAAAACATATTATTATAAAGGGAATTGTTACAGTGGGGTGTAAAAGCAGAGCTTAATCTTTAACAAGATTTTCACGAGCTACAGAATATACTCAGAAGTATCTTAGTAAAAAATATCAGCATTATTTCCTTATCCTGACTCTATATATAACTTTCATTTAAAAAAAGAGAAAAAAAAAGTTTTCCCTTGCAACATATGAAAGTTTATTAATAATTATGTATTAATTATAAATAGTTACGAATTTTTATTTCTATAAATAAATAATATTACACACAAAAGTTTACCCAATAGTGATAACGTACTGAATAAAATAAAGAAAGAAATTAAATACGTTTCCTAATTTTTTCAAAAGGAATGTTACGCACATGGATTGTATAAATCCTAAAAATAGTAAATAATCTTCTTGCACATTAAGCACACAAGAAATAAACCGTTCTACAGGCTCAAAGCTGTACAGCTTCCTTTACAGTCAGCAAAGTTTCTCAAAGTTGGGTCAAAATTTACTTCCTCGTCATCTTCACTCTCCTCTCCTTTCACATCTACTATTTCAGCAAAGGTATCCTCTTCATAGATTTTCGTAAAAAACTGAAAGTCCTTTATCATCTAAATATTGCTCGGTAAAATCGCAAGAGTTTCTTTCAGTTATACCTTCATACTGATATAAAATTATTTCCAATTTCGAAATAAATTCCGTTTCTTCTGACGAATTTCCAAAATAATTTTTTTTTGAGTTCTTTCTTAAAGGTAAACCGACTGTTCTTTAGTAATAAATTATTTTGCTTACCTTTGCTTTTTTTACCTACAGCTTTTACTATTTTAGTTTGCAATGCTACTTTCACATGCACGCTTTATATTAATGTTAAGAGAAACTGGACTTTTTATCTCAGTATTAAATACTGTCATCTCCATTACATGTTTGCTATAGTAACCCTGAAAACAGTTGTTAACATCTATAACTGGAAGGTGAATAACAGAAGTGCAGCTCAGGGCAGAATGGATAATATCTACATTCCTGATCAATAGTAAAATGTCATAAGCTCTTTAATTATCCGCAAGCACAGTAAACTTGTTTTATATGAATACCGTTTACTTTAATTTTTGTAAAAAATTATTAAATATGCCTCCCATCATAAAAGATTTTGGAATCAATTGGCATACTCGGAACATTTTAAAAACATCTTAATGCTTTTTAGTTATTTAAGTCTGTATTGTTTGAAAAATAAAGTACTGTTAGACACTGCTTGAATTTTTTTACCAGTTTTGCATTTTTAACTCCTAAATGCTAGGGCCCAGACGAAAATCAATTTTTAAAAAGCTATCCTATTTCATGAGGGTACCCACCAGCGGCCGAGCGGTAAAGTCGCTGAACACTGGTAGTTCGGTCCGAGGTTCGAATCCCACGAACGGGCTGGCTGCATGGGCGTTTTCGTGGTTTTTCCCATGTGTAACGTGTATACGAGTCAGTTTCCCTTAGAAAGTCCTCCACGAAGGCATCCCTCCTCTTAGGCAGATAGCCCTCGAGGCTTTGCCATAATCACACACACCTATTTCATGAACTCTATGCTTATTTTCTATAAAAAAATTCAGAATGTTCATGTATCTCACGTTGTGTCTATCATTGACATTATCCATTGTTCTGATTTCTTTACCCTATAAATATCCTAAACTGTGACGAAAGCTCAATAACCATCCCTTTCTGGCTTTAAAATTAATATTTCTCAACAAAGACATAAATTTCCTAATTTGCTCACAAGGTACTCTTTCATTTATAGATAGTTATAATGCCCGTTTCCCACGAAATTACTTTATAGTAAATGGATCAATGTCTTCATAGCATGCAGCTTTTACTATTTTTCTCCATGAAATCAACTTTATAAGAATTTGCAGTTTGTTCGATTACTTTCCTTCCTTTTGCAGAAGCTGCTATCCTGAGAAAATCTATATTGTTTGGTAACTTTCGTTTGCTTGATTTCGACATCTATATCTTTAATAACATTGAGTTTTACTTTTTTTTAAGGCAAACGTGTTTACTTTGTAGTCGAGGTCTTTTTTATCCTAGAAAATTCTCATTTAATACTAGATTACGTGACAATGCATTGTTAAATAATGTATGGTAAACGGTATTTATGAGCAATAAAGTAGCTCCCAACGAAGAAAAACGCCACTCGTTAATGACCTTGGCCAGGGAGAGGAAAGAAGTAAACTTTTCTAACAAAGCTCAAATAGAGATAAAGCAATTTAAGGACATAAAAATGCGGTCTCCACATTACCGAAGTTATACCGTATTAACTTCTTTAATTCTGCCATTTAAAAATCAAGAGGGCGGGATTTTTCGGTCTATACCAGTGGTGCGCAAACTAGGGGTCGCGACCAGAAGATTTTTGGGGGTCGCCAAATTTTTATGAAATGCATTATGCCTGCATGATGCATACCATACAGTGTACATATAAAGAGTGAAGCGCCGTCACTCACTGTTTAATTGCAATTCTTGCTGTCCGCTCTTTCTTTGACCGTAATGCGTAATATATAATATGTAAGGTGTGATGACGCAAGTTTTTTACTCCGGTAGATAGCGTCCTCTTCGCGGTAATTCACCAGTTTTACTGAAAAGCGCCTATTTGACTAGACGTTAACCGCAGAGAGAGGGAAAAAATTCGCTTCCGTGATCAGCCAATCAGATGGCGAGGCGAGGTACGTGGTGTATCTGATAGTCAGAGGAAGACGTGGAGTGTTCGCATGAAGTTGTAGCATGTTTTTGTTTTTGCAATTGTTTTTGTTTATCCTCGAGTTTTATCATGTGACGTTGTGTAATTATGATTTTTTATATTTTTATCGGGCTTTGCTACTCTTTGTTATCAGGTATGTACTATCATTAGAGAAAGATTTCTGTTAATTTTATTGAATTTCTCGAAAAAGATTGATAAAATTTTATATATTATTTGTTTTAGTTTAAATAATTTAACTCCTATCTTCATAATGGATAAATGGGTAATACGTACACCAGGTACATCTTCAGCTAACAAACGAACAAATACTGATGAGGAGTCGCAAAATACTGAACTAAATGCCCGATCTAAAAAAATTAAGAAAATACAAAGAGGAATTTATTAAGTATGGTTTTACATTTTGTGTTGTTGATGATGAAGAACGCCTGATATGTGTCATTTGCAAAGAAAAATTAGCAAATGAGAGCCATGAAACCAGCTAAATTAAAAAGGCACCTGGAAACTAAACATCAAGAACTTCAAAATAAACATGCCGATTTTTTTCAAAGACGAGCTGAAATCTGAAAATTCAAAGTGCACATTTAAAGAAATTTACAAGAATACCTCAGAAAGCATTACGAGCTTCTTTAGAAGTTTCTTATCTAATAGGAAAAACAATGAAACCCCATACAATTGGAGAATCCCTTATCCTTCCTGCAGCAACTAAGATGACATCAATTATGCATGGTGATAAATATGGAAATGAAACTAAAAACAATACCATTATCAAGAGATACCTGTGTCTCGGCGGATTTCCAAAATGTCACGAAATATCGAGTCAGAAGTCATAAAACGCATACAAAATTTCATCTGTATTTGCTTTACAACTGGACGAGACTACCGATATTACTAAAATGTCACAATTAATTAAATAATTATTTACGTTAGGTTTATTTTTAATGAAGATATAACAGAAACGTTTTTATGTTGCAAAAGTTTGGAAGGAAAAACAACTGGAGAAAAAATATTCGAAGTAATAAATGAATATTTTGAAACAAAGTCCCTTACCTGGGCAAACTGTGTTGCGGTTTGTACTGATGGTGCTGCAGCATTAACAGGTTCGAATAAAGGGCTAAGAGGCTTAATTCAGAAGGTGGCGCCTCATATGGTATTTAATCACTGTATGATTCATCGACAAGCTCTTGTTGCAAAAAGATATGGATGAAGAGTTGCACAACATATTACAAGATGCTGTTCGTTCAATTAACTACATTAAATGCAACAGCCACAACAGCCGTCACTTTTCAATACTTTGCAATGAGATGGGCTCAACGTATGAGAGATTACTGTTACACACCGAAATCAGATGGCTTTCACGTGAGAAAATACTACCCACGGATATTTGATTTGAGAAATGAAGTGTACATGTTTTTAATCGGAAAGAAACACAGATTAGCAAGTTATTATATCAATGAAGTTTGGCTAGGAAAGCTGAGCTATTTAGTTGATATTATTCGAAAAACTTAACAAC